ACATGCTGGGAGATTGAAAGTTTCAACACAACAGTTGGGAAACTTGCAAAAGATGCAACCACTGATTTTTGCTTGAATGTAGACCTGGGAAATATGGGCACAAAGATAGTCATTGAAGGTAAGCGTGAGGTAGAAGGCAAGGAAGAGGACAAAACCACAGAAATTAATATCATGGAGGCAACTATGGACAACAATGAGTGGATCACAGATGGTACTGATCAAGTCCTTCCTTGGATGAAACCTCCCAGTTCACAAATCAATCCAGTGTCTATAGAAAATGTTCAAGTTTCCTCTTCTGTAGATGTCACTTGCACACATGCAGATGTTCCACCTGTCAATGAGTGTGAAGAAGACAACACGGTTCCCCTTTCTGACGAAGCCACAGAACCTGGCAAGAGGGTGCTGGCAGTTCAGCCTATGCCCCAAAATGTCAGCGTGACCTTCCAGATCCACTATCTCACGCACTCTCCATACCAGAAAGTGGCTATCGCAGGAAACCATTTTGAGTTGGGGAACTGGAAGGATTTTGTTCCCCTAGAAAAGGTGAAAGATGGGTTTTGGGCCACTGTGGTCAGCCTGCCTGCAGAGAGTCATGTGGAGTGGAAGTTTGTAATAGTGGAGAGGGGAGAAGTGTGCCGCTGGGAGGAGTGTGGCAATCGCTTATTGGATACAGGCAACAGAGAGACTCTGCTTGTGCACAAATGTTGGGGTTTCTTGTAAGAGGCGTTAAGGCAAAAACTAAAGACACAAACACTGAGGCTAGAAGGATCAATGAGCTTATGGACTGGACCAGGTAAATGATTCATTTACTCATTGATTTTTAAATTCAATCAAGCATTGGTTTTTGAGTAACATTTCCTGAAAACTGGGCCAGATCTGGTTGAAAGAATTCTCTGGCTTGCTTGTAAACGTCATTTCAGAAGTTAAGTTGGTGTATTGGGGCTCAATCAATTACACTCAAAATAGATTTTAAAACTTTCAACATTTGAGTTGTCTTAGACTACACTTGTTCTACCATAGGGATGCTTTTATAGATGTATGATCAAATTCCCATAATGTTCACTTTATATACACTTTCTCTTGAGTTGTATCTTTATAATGGTACATTTGAGGTTTTTCTATTGTACATTTCAACCAGACTTGGCCCATCAGTGTTAAAAGGAATATCCCTACATGCCCTACCAATGGGATGTCTTAGAATTTTGTACATTGAGAATGGTGGGTTCTGTTTGAACTGGTAACATGTACTACAAAGTCCCTGCTGTGGCAATATCTATAATTATGCAAACTGTTCTTTTTAAAATGCGTCTTGCAACTGTTTAGCTTCAGACTGTGTTCTACATGCTGCTTCACTTACTGTGAGAAATGCACATAGTTCACTTTTATTACAGCAATAATCAAAGCAATAATTGTTCTATATGCTGTGACAGGTGTTAAATCAGGTACAATGTGTTTACCACTGAACTGTGGAGGTGCAACTACTGCTTTTATTTAAAGGGGTTTTGTGCATGCACATACATCCCCCTATTCTGTAGGTGCACCTTTTAAAAGTCATTTGTCATTACAACTTTATTGAATTGCTGTTAACATTTGTCCTTGTCTTAGAATATGTTGAATGTAATTAAACTTAAATAAACTAATCTCTTCAAATCTGCATGTTGTCACTGAAACATGACTGGGAGGGTGCAATTTTATGCAACTGTGACTCACCAAATAAACTCTGGTTTTAACCTTTACACTGCTTGATGGGTGGGATATGTGATCCCTAGTGCAAACCTATTAAAGTGCTAACGTGAGCTGATGCATCTGAAGATCAGGAAATGATTAACGAATGTCGAAATGGACTAAAACGACCCCAAGCACTGTGAGCGGACTCGCTAAGAAAACCTCAGCCAATGTTCAAACAAAGGGACATGGTTCTGTCCTTGTTTTGAGTCCAGCTGGCTTGGAAAAGGCTCATGAAGGGAAGAGACCATAATTGGCAAATATTTTCACGTCCTGCTCAAATCTTCTGCCTGCCAAAGGTAACAATCAGGGAGGGGGGAAGTGCTTTTTCTCATTCACCATCGCTAACTGGGTTTCCTGGAGTATTTATGTAGTTTGTTTTAGAGCTTGGTGCATGATAGAATTCCCTGTTTAAAGGGTACAAAACTGAATTTTAAATGACCCAAAAGTGAAAAGTTTCTATTTAGTTTTCTGGCAGACTAATTGGGAAATCATGCACAATAATTCCAAACAAAAGCCTTTCAAAATGTTTCAAAGCTACACTGTTCAATGAGGGGGGTGGGAGGAAAAACACTCCTGTTATAAAGGGACTGCAATTTGTGTGGTGTCAACATGTGTTCAATCTGTGAAATGTGATATTTTTAGTGGTATCGCATGTGGAAGTCTCCTAGGTCCAAAGGGAGCTCCCCCTCCAAGCGCCAAGTGGAAAACGGATCAATATTGTGCACCTCTCAGCCAAACAAGGCCTCAGAATCTTTTGACCTCATTTCAAATGAGGACATGGCCTGGCTGGAAGTCACCTGATTCTTCTGGTCATTTGGGTTTCATGCTTCAATCATGCTTTATTTATCTAGACTCCTTTGAGAAGCATTCACTTTCAAGTGCTTCAGTAGAAATGACAGAAAAGGTAGCTAATGTAAATTAAAAACTGATAAAGGGGATAGCTCTGTGCAAATAAAATAAAATAAAAAATCCAAATTTAACACGAGGATTTGAAATCACACACACACAAACTTACATGCTAATTGGAAGAAAAGACTGAAGGGACATTTGCAGCACAGAAACAGGCAGATGTATCAAAACATTTTATAGAAGTGATAAAACCAGTTGAAAATGTAGGCTTAAAAGATTAGCTTTGAAGTTTTTTTTTTTAAGTCCTGACTAATAAAGTACAAATGAATGAAATGTCACAAGTGACAAGATCTCAATGCAAGTTAAAAAACAAACAAAACTCTTCATGAATGTTGATTCTGTATGTGGATCAATCCCCCCACTCACCCCAGGCTGGTGCTAATGTGGCAGGTGGTTGGGTTGTCTTTCCACAGCTAACGGTAAATTGCACAAGGATTACAGCTGACATTTGCATTCACTTTCTCTCAGCTATATTTATACATCTGTCATACAGACCTCTTAGGCCCTTGTCAATGCACTGGTTAATCTCAGAGCAGTTAATAAAGGAGTCTTCCCATCTCTCCCCTTTTCCCCCTTCTTTACATTCAGATTTAGATTCATAAGAGGGAACAAAGCCTTCAGATCAACACCCTAAAATGATTTTTCAGCTGTTGTGCGTCCCTGTCATCGGTATCCATGTGCCGTGGAGCATAAATAGTGCATCACATGCAAATGGAGCTATTTGAGACTATGGTTTGCAATTATTGTGTAAGTGAATCCTCCAAATGGCATCTAATGAAATGTGAATGCCTGTGGATGAGAAAAAAACAGAACTGATTCAGTTAGCTTTGATCAAATCGAATGTAAATTCAGCAATACTGCTTTCTGAATTTTTTTTTAGAAAACTCTGGAATATTTTACCAATGCTTTCAGTAAGATGAGAAACTGTTTTCTCAAATTTTATCCAAAATTGTATCAATGTTGACCTGATGCACAATTTGCCTAAGCTCTCTGTGTTGGTATTTAGTATTCACCTTTGTCTTCCCTTAACCGATCCAGTTATTTACTAACAGGAATCTGCCTTAAATTATTTGTTTCACAGTCCATGACTAAACTCAACTCCCAAACTAGTTATTGGTGTACTTACTACGTTTGATTTTTATGTCAGCTCCATCGATTTTAAGGTGCATGGCTTGAAAACCTACATTACTGGCCATCCACATATCCTTGATCAAACAAATCTGAGTTTTCCAAGCCGTCGTAAAGTTTTTTCCACATTTACAATGACAGTCATTGTAACAGAGAGACCATACTGGTTGGTTCAAGTTGATGTGTGTCAGTGACGTGACCTGCACTGTGCAAAATTTGCCAAAACTGATTTAACCCAAAGCGCATGCATAAACATCAGAACATTTTGTCCCATGTTTTGTCCACAGATGACTGATACACCCTCTCTCCTTTGTCTGATAATGGCCACTGGAAATGTAGCATGAATGCAGGTTAACTCAACAAAATATAACATTTTATTATGAGAATTATCAGTTCTCATCTTTCCAGTGGTCTGCTTTTACTACAGAAAAACAATAAATGAGAGGGAAAAAAAAACCATTTGGCATAAACTTTGAATATGAATTGCTCCTCTATGTTTTCAGAGTCTAATATTGTTCCCTCAGAGAAGCTCTCTCTTCTAGTGAGGCTATAATGTATCAGTCCAGCTTGGACTGCTATGTGTGAAATTCTCTTTCTCTTATATATAAGACCACTGGATCTTCTTACGCTCAGTAAAAACCAGGCTGCTGCTTTTCTCTTGATCTTTGACCTAGACAGATTGTGTAATACTGTCAGAGAGACTCCCTGTATCTGTGAGTGCTCATGTTCATTTGGACTTTACTTTGTCATTGCAATATCTTGCCTTTGGTCCCCCCGCCCCCCCCCAAAAAAAAACAAACAAACAAAAAAAAAAACCCTGCTGCTGTCTCTTTCAGTCCCCCTTTTTTTCTTATCCATCCTACTTTCTAAAGCTGCACGTTGGTGTTTTAAGACATGAATAATTTTCTTCCAGGTTACAAAAACATAGTAAAACCCATAAAATTATATTTTATTTGCTATTTTTACAATGCTTCCTTTGGAAAAATGAGGAAGATCGCTGTTGTAATTCATGTCATTGATAGGGAAGTGCTACACGTGGAGGCTATTAATACAACATGCCAGTTCTCATTCCTATTTCATTCTAAGGGATCACACAGTGACCTTCACTGGAGACAGTCAACCCTGCTGACAGTGCTACACGACCAGATGGGAAGGAGTAATGAGTGGGGCTTATGCTAAATGGGGGAAAAAAATGTTATATAAATTCATGAAAAACATTTAACATTTTTGTATTTAAGTCAATGTTTTTATTGCATATGACATATAAACCTTGACGCTGGTGTCTTTTGTCTGCCAACCGAGACCTCGCTGTGTTTCTTCATTATGGATGTCTGCACAGCGCCATAAAGTGTGATCTACACCATCTGCTCTGGCGAAGCTGCGAGCAAAATGAAAGCTCTTCTGGATGTGTGCCATAGCGGGACAGCTTCCACCAGTGAGGTCATCACTTACTGGCTTAGAGGACACTGCAGTTGTGGGCTGAATGGAGTTATGAGCGGCTCTGCAAATGCACAGTGCAGTAAGGATATGTGGGAGGAGATGGAGGGAACAGAGTGAGTGGGAGAGGAGAAAGAACAGGGAAGAGAGCTTGTAGCTGCATGCAGTATGCAAAAAAAAAAAAAAAAAAAAAGCCTAGCAGAGCTATTGTGTATTGGTTTTCCAAACAATATCTTGTTCATAAATCTTTATGATAACCAAACAAAATTTCCGGTGCTTTCATCAGTCAGCCTACATCAATGGAAAAAACCCCCAAAAACAAACAGAATCGATTTTGTGGAAGAAGAAAAAAAAAATCATGAATAAGCTTCAGCTAAAACGTGTAGTAAATGTAATAATCTTTTATAATCCAATAGAAAATGAATCAGTAAAAGTGGCAATATATTGGTTTCTGTATGAAACAAACATTTATGATGAAACAAGATTGAACATACACTAAATCAGAAGAATGACATGCAGTTTGTTGGAGGTATTGTTTAACAGGATGAAAATTAAACTTTAGTTCATCTACATTTCCGATGTAATAGGCTTAAAATCGAGTTGGAAAGACAATACTGCCCCCTGTCTGTGGTTTAGAAACACAATCACTGTTCTACATGGTCACGTTACAACTTCTTTAACAGTATTAGATTAGAATAAACAAAAGAAAAATACAAAACATTAACACACAGTTGTGTCTCAAGTATTATTAGGAACAATATGTGTTTTTTCTTACATGTCTGGTATGTTTTGAAAGAGTTTAATAGTGATGCACTCTGCAGGAAATGGAAGATAAACCAGTAAAAACAAACCATACCAGAACTAACACTTAAGGCGTTAGGTTTTCACGGTGATGCCATTCATTGCAAAAGAAACATTAAGCATAAACTGTTCCAACCAATGTACCCTGTATATCCAGTGTTTGTTACATAAATACTACTAGTATCAGTTTTCTGCAAGATGTTAGTCCCTACATGATTTTTCCTAATTCTGGGATCCCTGTGAGCCCTCTTGTTACTCTGGAATGGGACGGAAGAGCTGAGGCCGAGGCGTTTCTGTTTGGGCAGAAAAGGCAAGAAGACTTTTCAGGGGTCGCTTAAACAGGAACCTTTCTGAAGTGACCAAAGCACCGTAGCCTTGAGAATGGGAGAAGGCGTAGCCTGATCGCCGGGTGCTGACACGCCTCACTGGACGGCGAGGAGCAGGTGCTGGCGGCGCTTCCACTTGCGTCTTATATCTCACCTGTAGAAGAATTAAAAGCAATACGACTTTCTGTAAAAACACATCCTTTCTTAGGTTTGTTGTGGCTCATTAGGCTGTATTCATAACCACAGAATGCATAAACAATATTCGGTCTCGGGTGTTTTTCTCACCTTGTCATTGATAGTTGGACGAATCTGTATGAGGATGAAGCGCAGAGCCACCACAGGCAGCACGCAGAGAAGGGAAGTCAGGAATATGGTCAACCAGACATTTGGCTGATTTAAGGAATTCCTTACGGTTCCTAAAGTCAATGAAAGAAAAGCCAAGAAAAAAAAAATATATATCCTTAAGCATTACAAACTTAGCAGGCGGAAAAAAGCAGTTCCAATCAACCCTGTCTCATTTAGGCAAGATCTCAACAATTTTGTTACTTTCTGACGTGCTCTTGTTAAGTTATCTCAAATGACTTAAGTACTGGAAGTATTGAACTTGAGAATAGATACGAATAGATCGAAAGGTCTGGTATAGGAAGTACCAATATTTCAGTATCAATCCGCACATCACTAGTTGTGAAGTGGTAGAGTTGTTGAAGGTGCTGCAAAACTAAAGGTTAAGGCTCACAAATTCCAACCAAATGAATAATAATTTCGCATACATAGTGGCTGAGTCACTGCTTTTAAATTTAGTGTCCATAAATCATAACTTTTGCATTACATTGTAATGACAACAAAAATAAGGGTGCAAAGAGTGATCAGACATTTAAAGTACAAGTAATATTCCATATTCCTGTTTTATACTTACTTGTAACTACATATATATTAAAACCAGTTCAGAATTTTTTATTTTATTTTGTTAGGAAATCTTGTCTATTATGACACCTTTTTTTTTTTTTACACACTTGAATTCTCATGTTTGCTTATAGTAAACTTCAAAGATCTCTTTGTCATGTCTTGAAAATATTTGTTGCTGATGAGAAAGAACATCATGAAAGACAACATATACAAATTCTTGAGGTTACTTTCTCATATGCAAACAGATGTACCAGAAGCTATTGTTATATGTGATATTTGTGCTAAATGTACTCACCAATGAAGGGGAAGACGGAGGTGAAGATCAGAAACATGCCATTGCTGTACATGGTGAACGTGATAGCTAAGTAGGCAAACAAGCTACCCCACACAAAAAACTGGTTTACGGTTGTCCAGGCATAGGTGTCAATACATAGCTGAAATATTAAAGTTGGAGTTGTTCAATCTTTTTTTTTTTACATGCATAGAAAATTATACAAGCATTACATTTAAAGAGCCATTTAAAAAAATGCTAGTTCTCACTAAACAGTTGTTGCCAAAGGTTTTGATTTAAGGAGATCTTGCTCAGTACAAACAACATAGCACTACTTTCCATTGACCATAGGTTGCAAAGACATTACAGAAAATATTTACAGGAAATCTGCAGGAAACAGGGGTTTCATTCCTGATTTAAAGCACCCAACTGTTTCTGCACATTCCACGTTTTCAAGGAGTTGGTTCTTGAGACTGAAGAGAACAGACAAGAAATGCTGCCTCCATTTGTGTAAAAGACCTTCGGCCACAGCTGTGTCTTTTCCGTAACACTCATCCTTCAACTCTCATCATCATTTAGAATGTCCCGAGACAAGAACTGTGTTTTCTCACCTGAATGCTCACCACGACAAGCAGACAGGTTTGCGCCAGCAAAGCAAATGACTGGTAGTCTGCAAGATCTCTGCCGTCATCTCTGACTGTGTCGTGAATTGCTCCCCAGGGGATAAAGAAGAGGACCAGGGAGCAGTAGCAGCTGTGCACCATACAGTGAACAAATGCTTTTTTACTGAAGTACATGTTGAGCTGGCCAGGAGAGTAGAGCTGAGGATACTCAAAACTCCAGCGGTCATTTACGTCCTGCAGAAAAGAGAAAAAAGGGTGTTAAACCTTGAATAAAATCATGGAATTTCTCACAGTTTTCAGGAAACTACTTATTTTCTATTTATTGTATACCTGGTCAAATAGGCCCAAACTGAGGATTGGGAGAGATGTGTAGACCAAGTTGTACAAAGTGATGAACCATTCATCATACACAGTCTAGCAAAGACATTTAAATCATTAGTAAACATTAGATTTATAGATCTTATATGGAGTCCATTTTTTGTAGAAAGACAGAATATGAACCTTAAAGCTATGCCTCAACACGTTTCACTTACCTGGGCAGAGAATCCACAAAAGAAGGCATACCAGAAGTGTACAAATGTGAAGGTGAAGTTTTTGTAAAAGAAATATTGTAGGAACTTGCACATGCGAAGGTACGACCAGCGCCCGTGCACCAGCAGGAGGCGCTGAAGGTAACGGAACTGGGCAAAGGAGAAATCACTGGAGAGAACTGCCTGCATACCCTCTTGACCACTAATTCCTACACCAATATGAGCAGCTGAAAGACAAAAGAACAAGATAAATTATAAGATTTGCCATAGCCTTTTGGCACAACTGAAAACACAAATTTTACCCTTGATCATGCTGACATCATTAGCTCCATCTCCAATAGCCAGAGTGATGGCCTGCTTGTATTTCTTGACCAGCTCAACAACCTGGGCTTTCTGCAGAGGAGTGACCCTGCAGCAAATCACGGTCTGACACATGCATGCTGTTCTCAGCAACTCTAACTCCAAGTCCTTCTCCAGTGCAAAGGCCTAAAGATGAAACAGGAAGAGGACATACAGTTATACAGACTTAATTTTAGGGAGGTAAAGAGATCTAAAAATATGGCCATAATGACGTGTCTAGGACAGTGCAGTCCAGTCACTATCCAGTCATGATCTCTGGTGAACTAAGTCTAAGCTAGTTAATGTTCTGCTAATATACACCCCACCATCCAAGTCCCAAAGTAGCATTAAAGGATTAGATGAGTGCAGGCCCTTCGCCCTGACATCTGTGATCATGCAATCCTTTGAGCGACTGGTGTTGAACCCTCTGAAGAACGTTACAGGACCCCTGCTGGATACAGTGCAGTTTGCATCACAAGCAAACAGGTCAGCGGTTTATGCACTCAATTTGAGATAACACGTTTTCTTTCACCACCTTAACCACCCAGGAATGTACACCAGGATCCTTTTTGTGTCAACTCAGCCTTCAACATCATCAAGTAGAAACTGACCTAGAATGGCTATCAAACATCAAACATAGTTTGACACACTACTATTGACTTGGATGGTTTTAAACACATTTTCGGAGATTTAAAGACAAATAAAACAAAACTGTATATCTACCAAGCTGTGTCCATTTATTATCAGAGCATAATCCCCTTCAACTTGTTCATCCTGCACCGTCTCTGTTTTCTGAAGCCAGAACAGGCCTGCACGAGCTTTAGTCACCGATGGCTCCTCTGCTGATTCGGGACACATTTTCCTTCTGGCATACCTGGAAAAAGTTGTCTTATTTTACAAACAATTACTGAACAAAAATAATTCTGTTGGAGTTCAATTCTGGGGTGTTTTTATCTTTAGAACAACAAGGTATAAAATTATGAAAATAACTTAATTTGCAGTGGTTCATTCAAACAATTTTTTGGAGTACAGGCTTAGTGGGGCTGAGACAACATGTTTAAATGTTACACACACTTCATTGCGATAGTAAGTTCAGGATTGACTTACTGGAGCTCCTGTTTGACCCCGTCAGGTGTATTGGCAGCCACAATAAAAACCTCCTTCATCTCCTCCCTTAGCATGTTGCAAGAGTAACCAATGTTTTCTGCTGTCTCTGTTTAAAGAATGACAATGAAAGTAAGTGTGGTATGAATAATTCCCCAGCTTTGGAAACTGTATAGGTGTTGAACATTTGTTCCGTTGTAGTTTATGACACATACCAGGAAAGTTTTAGCAATCCTTAAATACTTGATGTAATTAGTTATATGTATTAGGGCTGAAACGATTCCTCGTTTTGAGTACCTCAATTATTAAAATTCCTCCAGGAAATTTGATCTGCCTCGAAGCTTCGTTAAGTTATGTTATGTTTTATTATTTAATGTTCCGACCGGGTTATTAATTGCGTTGCACAGCGCTCTCACTTCCGCCCGGGTTGTTGACGAAAGCTAAGTGCTAGCAGCATAACGTCCAATTTTCAAGTTCGACCTGGGAGGATTTTATTGTCGTTTTTCGGGGGAGCAATAAGCATCCTTAAAATGACGGGGACGATGCTTGGAGTACGGCAGCTTTTCTCCTCCAGGAGCTGCTGGTTCAGAGCGAACGGCGGGGACGAGCACGGCGGGATTATTTATACAGGTGAGCGGATACACTGAACACTGCGGGGTGCTGTGCTTTAGATGTAGCTTTACTGACTATCCCGAAAATATTTCAAATCATCCCGGTCGCAGCAAATGGAGACGTAGCGCATCGTGACGGTACATAGCTGGTAGATGTGTTTCTGTGTGCGACAAATGCAGCCAGGTGTCAAATCCCGTTGCTAACATGAACACAAAAGCTATAAATGGCTGGGAAAGGTGAGAGTTCATATATTAAATTGACTGAAGATGAATTCATAAACCGAAATCTGGAGTATAGACATTTTTTTATAAGCGTATATTTGTGAGCCTGCCTCTTTATAATTAAATTGAATATAATTTCTGATTTTTGTATAACTTTTCTTCAGGTTAACTTATAAAGTGAGCTATTATTGTTACAAGTTAATTTTCTAAACTACATAAAGGTTGTTGTTAGGGATGCTCAATTGTGAAAAATTGGACTAATGTCCAATATCCGATATCAACATTAATACTGCTGTTAGATTTACCAATGTTTTATTTAATCCTTTTTTTAAAAATCAGATTAATTGTAAGAATAATCGATAGATTACTCGATTGCTAAAATATTCGTTTACAACAGCTCTAATATGTAGCAACTCATACCTTGTTTATCGCCAGTCAGCACCCAGATTTTGATGTCTGCTTTAGCCAGCTGCTCAATAGTCTGTGGTACACCGTCTTGCAACTTGTCTTCAACAGCTGTCGCTCCCAAAAGCTGGAAACCAAAGGTTAATAGGAAGTGAGATCGTGATGGAAATTGGGTTTAGCCTTTTATTACAACTATTTAAACTATACTCTGGAGATGAACTAACAATCATGTCTTTCTCAATCTCTTCATAAAGTTGATCGAGTCTCTCCTCTCGTCCTTCCAGGGCTGTGCTGGCCTCATGGTGGCGCTGTGTCCACTCCTCCATGTAGTTCTCCTTCAAGTGCTTGTAGGCCAGAACAAGAGTGCGTAGCCCATCTCCTGCATATTCCTAGATTGTTTATAGAATTCAGAGGACTTAAAAAGAAGCAAAACATATAAGAAGTTCAAATAAGAATCACAAAAAATGCATAGCTTACATTTAGGTGTCCTGTAGTAACTTTCATCAACCTTTTACAAGAGTGGTCTAATCTTTCATAGATGATGGTGTCAGCACCTTTGCAGTAGAGCGTCATCTTCCCATCAGGGCCGCGTACTAAGAAAAATAACAAAAAATACTTGACAAAAATATAACAAAATACTCTGATTCTGATTAGTTCCTGACTTTAAAATGCAGCTGTTGAACGCTACATAATACTATCTTACATAGAGGTGGTAAATGCAGGAAATATATTTTCTGTACATAAAAATTTGACAATTTTCTCTGACCTATTACTGACATCCTCTTCCGTACATTATTAAAGTCCAGAACAGCCAGAAGTTCGTATGTGACTTTCTCGCCCATTTCCATGATGGTGATAGTCTCGGGTGTGCGAGAGCGGAACACAAATCCAAAGTTCCTTGCTGCGGTGACCAGAGCGCCCTCATCAGGAGACTGCGCCTGGTAGTTTAGCTCACCTACCAGGTTGTTAAGGAGACAAGACCGGAAACTTTGTGAGGAGAGAGGCCAAATAAAATTAATAAATAAATAAAAGTTCTATATTTTAAAATTATACTTGACTCCACTCATTCTGTAAAGATTATAATCATATTAAAGGCTTCTCTCACTAAATATCAATTTCATGGTGCACTGTCAGGTCATTTATTCTACCAGATAAGTTACTAAAAGATTTAAAGGATTCATGTCACACAAATGTTTATATGTGTTTCTTCTCTTTAGACCCCTTTTTAAATGTCTTTAACATTGACTTCAAGGAATTTCTCCTTTTAAAAAATAGTGCTGTTTATAAAAACTGTGATAATCTGACCCTCTTTCTTTTCTTCAGGCATGACAGTGTGGCACAGAGCCAGCAGGCGGAAGAAGGCCTGAGCTTCAGGGTTTCCCTCTCTCACAGTCTCCACTAGATTATAATCATGGAAGTCAAACTTCGGATCTGCCAGCTTGTTCCAGGAGAAGTCCACTTTTTGTGTTTTCTACACACAAAAAAAGGTATAATGAGGCAATATTGTTAGATCCTGTTAAATAAATTCATGAAGAAACACTGGAATGTGCCTACTTGCCTCCGTTATTTCAACTCTTTGTCCAGAAAAATCATACAGCTCCCCTAAATAAGAGAGACATACTGTATGTTAAAGAATCAGACATCCAGCCAACCCGAGTGTGACTTTGGTGTTTATTCAAACTGCCTACCATAGTTTTTTCCATTGATGGAGCACTTGTTGAATGTCATGATGTTCTGTGTCAGAGTGCCAGTCTTGTCACTGAAGATGTATTTAATCTGGCCTAACTCCTCGTTGAGTGTGGTGGTCCTGGCCTGAGCGGGAGTGTCGTTCTTGGGATAATACATCTTCCTGTCCCAGTTTATGAAGAAGCTGTTCCCAAGACGGATAACCTCCACACTGACATTCAAGCACAACCAGATTTTAAAATCCCAGACGCAGAAACGGAAAAGTATAATAAGGACTAAATTCACTACGTGTTTCTGTTTGACTCTCTTTCTGTTTTAAAGTGTACCTGACATAGAGGGAAATGGGCACCACTGCGTTGAGGACAATGACATAGGACCAGAAGGAGAGGAAGGAGGAGAGAGCAGCATTAACACCCGGTTCCCGTGGAAGGAACACAGTGAACACGGAGCCCTCCTTCACCTCCCAGACCGCATTGCCGATGGCCAGAATGAAGCACAAGGTAAACAGGAAACCAAAGATCTAGTGAAGTAGACGCATTGCTAAACTTATTATTGTAAAAAAAGAAAAAAAAAACATGCACAGCTCACATAGATAAAAAAAAATACTTTCAACTTGACAATAACAAAATCAGAAGTATAATTGGATGTATTCTCATTCTAACTTCATTTCAAAGTGTTGAGAAGTCATATTACTATTTCAGACATACTCTGCTGATGTTAGCTGTTTTTTGGTAAATGCATAGTGGCACAGAAATACAATAGCTTCAGTGTATTTGTGTGTGCAGACACTTACACACAACACAAGGATGTTCATCAGATGATCAATGCTGGTGCGCTTGAATTTTGTCTTTCCACTGTTTTGCATTAGCTTGGTGTCAGGACCTAAGAACATTCTCAGTTAGGATCAGACATGCACATGATTCTGCAGAGGAAGTCCAATCCTTTTTTTGCTAGTAATTTTATGTTTTTGTTAAATATAGAATAACATTACCATTTTTTTTGTGTGTGTGTTTTGTTTTTTATTACTGGTTTCTAATGAGAACACAACTGTCAAAAACATGCATTGATTGATCTGCTCAGCACTTGATGACGTTACTTGTTTCCGTATTTCCAAAGTACAAAGATAGGTCAGTACACATTTAATTATTTAGTACTCAAACATAAATAATAATAACAAAACATGCCTTGAATTATTGCTATCTGAATTTTTACCTTAATTGGTTCCTCAAAAGCACATGAGCATTCCAGTATAGCATTAGTGCCCTCTGGTGGGCCCATGTAGATTTGACGAGTAAGAGAAGAAATTTGGTTTCTTTTCCCCACATTGAGATTGCCAAGATTCTCTTATCTTGAACAGCTAAGCTCAAACAAGTGTATCTCTCAGCGAAATGAGACACTACACAACAAGCCCTTCTTCACTTGAGGAATTTTGACTTTGCATAGTAGGACAAGCAGGTGTGTCAATGAGGGCTGCATTTCAGTAGATTTACCTCCAAAGATGACCAGACCGAAGCACCACTCTGTGTTTCTCAGAGTGCATCCTCTCAGCAGTATCTTATCATTGTCCAAGCCATAATTCTGTCCATTCACGGTCAAGGTTCCCTTGAATTTGTCTAAGCGATTGTTTGGAGGCTCACATCGCACTTCACCTGAAAACCATAGGTCTCATCATTATGTTGTACACAACGGTTATCAATCAAAAAGGCCCATCATAAATACTCTCGCAGGTATGCTAAGTGAGGTTTATGTTTTTTTTTGTTTTTTTTTATAGCTGTTAAGCTAACATTTATGTAATTAGCATTGCTCCAAATTCCAGGAAAACCCTAATAATTTGGTCTGCATCTCTCCTTTTATTGATCTTGCTTTATTCTCTTTAAAATGTAGGTCAGATTTATACATAGTACATCATTGTTGATTTCTTTTTTTTTCTTTTTTTTTGCCTTGATATTTGTTCTGAATCTTGAATTCATGATTACATGAGGTCATTTCTTACCTTTGAAGGCAGAAAGAGCTTCAATGGAGTCTCCCATCTCTCCTGTGAGAGTCAAGGCTTGTTTCACTTTCAGGTTTGTTTCACTGGGGATCACCGATATGGGATGTAAGAAGTTTGCAACTAAAGGGAAATCATATAATCTGTGAAAGGAAAGCAGCTTGCACCATACTCACCCATCTAACTCAGCCGTTTCCACATAGACTAGATTGAGAGGTTCACTGCTGGACAGCAACAGGAGGTCTGCCTGAAAGATAATAGTCTTTATGAATGCTTTTATTGAAACTTAATATAAAAGTTCAGTTGACATTAATAAAGTCAGTATTGTAGGGTGAGTGACATGGGTTAGCTTTTTCTAAAAATTAAAAATCTCTTTTCCAGGTTTGATTAAGCCAATACTTACTGTAACAAACTGATTGCTCTCGAGTTTAACTATGTCCCCAACCTGAACATTCATCCATTTTTCATTTTTCAGTCTGTAAAGAAAAAGTAAAATGAATTCAAAAAGGTACTGAACACGTCCCGTTTAATAAATACTTCCTCGTAAACTGTAAATAATTAACACATCTGTAATCTAATGTTTGACTATTAAAATGACTCACACTCCATCGATGAGGACGTTCACCATGCGGTTGTTCACTTGCCGATCACTTTTGTGTCTGTTCTGTTCAGTTGGCAGAAAAAAATGAAATATTTGCTCAGATGTTTGTTCTTTCATCTTTGAGCAGGTTAGGGTTAGAACGATCTTTTAAACTGGAATGCTTTTATCTTACTATGTCATCATTGGCATCTTTGACCGCTGTCATGGACAGCACCAAAATTAACGGCAGAGCTGTGGTGAACCAGGACAGAGAGGATATTTGTGGGATTAACTGTGAATACAGGAAACGAGGCAGAGTTAGTACTTTGCTCCATTTACAACAAATGTAAAACGCTAAGAGAAAATGTGACATGTATTAACTTGAAATGAAAAAAAAAGTTTCACTCACAAAACGATCAATTTATGCTTATGTTAGGAAATGTTTCTTTGAAAATACAGAAACTAATTTGTATCAATAATCAGTGGCGTACTGACATTTAATGATAAAGTCTGATGTTGAAATGCAGAGATAGAGAAAGGGGAAAAAGGTACCTGAAGGATGAGGAGGAAGAGGAAGTAGGCATTAGCCAGCCTCCTGAACTGCTCAAACAAATTAAGAGGCAGAAAGGTGATTATGTTGTACTTGGAGGTCCGGATGGCATTGTTCTGAGAAAGAGGAAGTGACATAATAGTCAGTTAATCAGAAAATACCTACAGCGCATATCATAGTATATGAATACTTAGGACTTTTCAAAAGTATTTATGCCCTACTAACCTTTAACATTTTGCTACAACCATAAACCTTTTTGACATTTTATGCAGCAAACAGACACAAAACAGTGGGTAATTGTGGACTGCAAGGAATATGTGGTTTTTACTTTTTGTGTGTGTGGGGGTTACTACTCATGTGCTTGAGCCTTTGCAAATAATATGTAGCTATGTCATATTGGGTAGAGAAAATCAGAATAACTTTTTTTCCCCGTTGGATTTAGGTCTGGTCTTTAACTGAGCCACTGTAATACCCGAGTACACTAAATTGTTTCATCCTAGCTCTGGCTGTTTATCATCCTTGTCATGCAAAAAAATTAACGTCCGTTTCAGTCTCAAGAGTTTTGTAATCTTTAGCAGCTTTTCTTCCAGGTTTGCCCTTATTTTCCCAGTGTGTGCAGATTGAAATGCAGGGTTATTATTCCATTAACTATTGAATTCCATTAAGCGGGATCAGATTAAAGTGAGGCTGACTTTATATTTCTAAATGGACCGGTAAAGTCCACCAGAAGATGTGATTTTATGAAGATAAACTGAGAAATCTGCGTTGCAGCTAAAAAAATTTGAATTAAATGTTAAAGGTGTAAATCCTTCCAGTAGTGGGGACTTACAGCATAGTTATAAGACAGGTTGGAAGGTCTGTCATTGGCTCGAACATATCTCTCCTCCTCTGAGAAAAACATGAGCAACAGTGGGATTAAGGTGCTTTACAGCAGCAGCAGTAAGACAAATGCTAATTTTAATCTCAGCTGACAGAAATTTACTATGTATATCAAAAGCCTTATTGCAATGATGAATACTTAATTGACATGTAATACAAAAGTAGACCGTACCTTGCTTTTTCTCTTTTACACACAAGCTGCCAAAATGTGACTGTCCCATCTTTAGCTCAGATTTCCATTATTTACCCCTAAAAAAAGCACAAGTATTTACATCAATATAATTGAGTCATCAATATATCTGAGGCGTCTGCAGTTTTGGAAGTGACCGATTGCTCTACTTCTTCTTTAAGAACGATAGAAAAATTAACATTTGAATTCTTACCATGGAGGGTGGAGTAGCAATGCCCTAGATGTACCATACAACAGTTCAATTGAAAATAAAAACCTTTAACATTGTCTTCAGTTAAATAGAAAGAGCAATAACTATAACTTGGACATAACTTTCATCACTTTCTCTTGATCTTTCTACTCAGAAAAATCAATGCTAACTCAAACCCAATCTCATGTTTTATACGTTATATGACTCAAACAATTCAGGATGACGACTTATCACAATATATGGCATCAATGTTTTTCTAGAGTTATAAACTAATTAAATTCACTGTCTTACCTCAAGGAGAAAATGTGGATTTCCTTTCAGACCTGTGCACATGGGCACTGGGTCAAACAAAGATGAGGAAGTGTCTCAGGTCTCCACCCTCCCTTTGCTTGTGTCTGGCACCAAATTGGCTCCACACGGTAAAAGTCGTTTTATTGACCCTCTGGCAAAATCTAAGTTGGTGCGGTTAACTGCTGAGATGCTAAAGAGGTCGATAGAAGCACCTTATGAGTTAGACGAGCAACGAACCAGAATCCTTCTGCCCCTAGCAGCTCAGGCCTAGAGCAAACAATGCAGCGATCTTTGGACCAGGATGGTGAGTCAGTGAAAAGGCAGTAACAGAAGGGAAAGAGTGAAGTGCTGTGGCCAATCAGAGCCAACACCTCGCTTGCAGTCAGGTGTGTTATTCACCCTTTGAACGACACGCATGCTCAGACTGCTGTAATGAACTACTTTTACAACAAACTTCAACGGTTTAAATACTTTTCTCTGAAAACAGTGTTAAAAACTAAATATATCTAAACACTTTCTAAAAAAACCCCACATTATTAAGAAGCTCTTTAGCAGTTAACAATGCTCCTTCATTATCCCATTTAAAACTGTTCTCCAGAGCGTTGGACTAAGAAGTATTTTCCATGATAAGCTCAACAGGTGTGCACTTCCTCCAGGTGTTTGCTAATAGCTGCTGCTGCTAGTCTGGAGGAGCTTGTTTGAAAAAGGTGTGGGGGAAGGGTTGTCTGTGAGGCAGAAGCTGTGTTAAATAGGCAGCGTTTGTGTGAGGAAGTGTTTCTACCCGTGAGCGGTTGCCACAGGAGATTCAAGAATTAATCACCCAAAATGTAGGCTGTATTTGACAAACTGGTGCATTTTAAGCATTAACTATATTCTTAAATAGGGTTCTGTAGGTTATAGAATTTACTCGCTTTCTGAAATCTGAAAAGTGAAACGTGGTTTCATCTTTATTAGATATCCGATTTGGATCTTGGATATGTACTTTGAGAACGTATGGGGCGAATCATAGTTCTAGTGATCAATAAATGGCCACTAGATGTCAGGCATATGCAAACATGTTATTGGGAGAGCTGAGAAACTTCTCCAAAACTTGTATAACAACTGCGTGAGATGGCGAAATAACACTGAGCAACCTCTCCCACTAGAGGTCATGGCAAAAAGTGGGCTTTTTCAATAAAAAACCCACTAATATTAGAAACAAAGTCTTTGTATTCAAAATTGTATATTTTTTTCCCTCGAGTCAGTTCTGCTACTACATCTCAGATAGAAACTTTTTTACAGATATCAGCTTTTTTTTTTTTTTTTTTTTTTTTCCTTTCCTAACAACACAATTAACTTATTCAGGACAATACACAGAAGTTTAATCCCTGATGGGAACACCCATTGCTTCTCGCAACACAACATAACACGACCCACCCATTTTTCTCTGACTTGAACTCCATTGTTCCAAAGTTAATGTCAGCCATTACCACGGGTGCTTTGGCTCTCTCTGGCTCCCATCAGGCCGTCAGGGCTCGTCTGTTCCAAGAATAGATGGATTGCCCCGTAAACGTGGCAGAACTGAGTTGGACGAGGGGAACTGCATTTAGTTCCAGCTTTCGATGTATTTTCTATTTGTGGAACTGGCCTTTGTTTTTCACTACGGTGCTGGTGGAATGTTTATTTATACTTTTAAATATCAGAATTCAGTTGTTTTTTTTTCTCCCTCAGTTTCTCCATTTCTCCCAGTGGAGTATTTTTTTCCTACCTCCTTGCATGTGCTCTGCTGTCAGTACTCTCAGGAAATCAGGTCCACACCATTGCTTAATCTCGCAAGTTGCATATTATTTTTTTGCTTGCAGCATGAGTTTTTTTTATATTTTCAGATGTCTTCTACCATTTTCCTCAACAGCTAAATAATTATCTTTATCACCCCATTTCTTAAATTATCAGTTTTTTCTCACCTTTTGCCTTTTTAACCCTGTTGTTAGACAAATGAACTGACTCTTACATAACAGGATGTGTTTGAGCCAGACGGCTTTTATTCACGCTGCAAACCTCCATGTGTCTAACTTGTTTTTAACAGTGCAGTTTTGTGTGGTTTCTGTCCTTACTTATAAACAGTTATCCAGATATCATGGGAAAACTATGCCAGATGGCATACAGTTCAGTGTTTGGAGTTCACATCTGAAGTTGTCCCCAATGCATGTGAAAAGGGCCCCAAAGTTCCGAATGCATATAAAGCCACAAAACCCTGCAGCGCCTGACACGTGCTCTTTGCAGTTTGATGACCAATATCACACCTAGTAAAACCGTCAGTTTGGCTTTCCTCCAGAACGGTGACGACAACGATAAAAGGCTTGAATGTTTGAGAACCGTGCCAGAGGGAAGTGTAATGTTGCAGGTCTTCAGATTATCGTCACGTGGAAACAGTTCTCGTCGTAGTTACCAGAATTCTGTGAATTTTCTTCAGTTTTAGCAAGTAAATGGTAGTTGAACAATTAGTCTCCGTCCCACTCTCATGATATTTGAAAGGGATCTCGACAGAAGGGAATTAAAATAAATTAAAAACTTAAACTGTTACTTTATTCTTTAATGTATTCAAAATGTGTACTTTAACTGGGAGTCAACACGCTCATAAAAAGTACACAACAGACACATAGCTGTGTCCAGCATATTGAAGACCTGAACAGAAACATTATGAAAAATAACCCACACCAAGCAAAGAATTAAATTAATAAAACACGAGCCAGACAAATGTTATGTAACTTGAATAAACATGTTCAAGTTACAGGGCAACCAGCTGCTTTCAGGACTCACCTAATGGGTATAATTTCATCTTAGTAAAAATACACATGTACTATAAAAACCCCAGAAATCTCTTTGAGGACATTTATGAACTTACAACATTACGAAGATCAGGAATCACACCAATTAAACATATCAAGAGGCTTAATTACTTTTGTAGAAAAAAAAAACAACAACTTGACATTCTCACAAAATACATAAAATGAAATGATCAGTTTCCCAGTGTTTGAGTAACTTTGTTTTTTTACAAAACATTTTTACTCTTTTTTTGTGGGGGGGGAGGTAATTTCTTGGATGGCTAACTTGTACATCTGCTTTATCAGTATTGTTTGAAAGGATTCTGAGTTTTGCTGCTTAAGCTTAGATAAAAACAAAATAATTCAGAAAGGGATATTCTGAGACAGTCATGTGACCTAGACATAGCCTGTAGAGAACAATAGGGTGGTAAAAGTAGCCATACAACAAAATTTATTTTTAAACAAATTGGCCATTCTCTGTGGAGCAGTACTGCAATGACACAATGTGTGCAGGGTTAGATGAAATCCTACATCCATCATGGGAGGAGAAGTGGAGGTGGCAGAGAAAAATACGTACCGTGGAGTTCATGTGGACAACAGTCTGGACTGAAGACCCAATAGTGAAGCGTCTAAAAGAAAAGACGAAGCAGGCCGTACCTTTTGAGGAAGTCAAGAAACTTCAAGACTTGCACCAAGAAGCTACATAAAAAAGAAAGTATTTTTGAATAAAATTCTATTAAATTGAACTGCCATTGATAATCTGTTTTGGTTTATGCTTAATAAAAATCATACTAATATCTCTGCACAGTGTTCCAACTGTTTGACCTTATCTCTTTGCGCCACTTCTGTTGTTTCGTCTGCTAATTTACAATCCGTTTTTCTCACGCGTCTCATCTGTTTGCAGTGTGAACCGCAGTGGACCGGGCACCCAACCCTGAGGGGTCCCGGTGCCCGCCATGATGGATTTGGAGATGTTATTTCAAGTAAGGAATGATTGTGCTTTCACAGTAGCAAAGTTCAGAATCAAGAGACAAGAAGCAGTGTTCAGACTAAAAGAAAAGTGTCAAAGCAACCTTTAGTCGTCAGTGATGTGCTTTCTCAGCATTAGTGTGCTGTTTTTTTTTTTTTCGTTCACCGCATGTAGATGACTGGTTTTCTGTAGTTTTGTGGGAACAGGTTGTGCAGTGAAAGGTCAAATAATTTTATAATCTGCTCTCACAAAGAACCTATTCTGTATCATTCACACACACATGCATATATGTGCTCTCATTTCCTGTGAGGCTTTGACAGCCTTTGGTATTTGAACAGATGTGGGCAGACTAAGTGTGGGTATATCTCCCCTCCTTTCTGACCCGAAGGTGCACTTCCTGCTCCGAAAGCTAACACCCAGAGAGAACAATCATAGTCTGTACCTTCTGAACACACACTCACACACACACACAGCGTGCCCAAACACCGGCAGTCAATGTCGCATATTGGGCCGCTATGTGCAAGCCATAAACACACGCTAAAACAATCTTTTACAAAGGAGTTACTGTGTGTAAATCTTTCATGAGGTGGAAGTCGGAGGGAATCAGAATTACTCTCCCAAGATGCTCACCTCACATTTCATTATGCAATATTCTTTTTTTTATTAGCTATCTGTGGGTCGTCTGTTGTGCTTTGTGGTTTTGAACTCAAATATAGAGACAAAAACACCTCAAGTTTGTGCTCATATTTATGTTGGCTTTTGTTAAATGTCAAGGGAAGTTCTTAGTGGCTGACATGGTTCAGCTCGCTTCTACCTTAAACAGAAGCAAATTGTACTGTGCCGGCCAAGAGAGTAAAGAAAACTGAAGCAAGGGAGGCGGCACCGATTTGAAAAAAAAAACACCTAGCCAGGTCAAAGAAGCTTTCTCCCTCCTCCTGATTAGCCACTCTTAACATTTTACAAATGTGCTGCTGAAATCACTACGACATGCTATTGAGTCAATGAAGAGTCAACTATATGAATGGCCTAGTCAAAACATTTTCCTTGAGATTTTTTTAGTTTTGTAAAGCCATTTTGCCCCCCAAAATTCAGAATCAGTAACTACATCAAAAAAGGGCATTCTACAAAGTATTGACACATGGTGGACACAGGCATTTGTATGCCACACTTTAAGATTTTGTTTTACCATAATATATAACAATAAGGGATATTTTTATTGCTTAAATTTTATATTAAATGTATTGAACTTCAAAGTTGTAATGTGAAACAATGTGAGATGTTAAATCCTAACGTTTTCCTCCGTAAATGACTCCATGTGTTTGTGTTTTGAGGATGGAAAGGATAAAGAGAAGAATATAAGCAAGCACACCTGAGGTTACAGCATGTGGATTGGTGGCCCCCAGAAAGTGTGTGAGCCGAGCAGAGATAAAGAAAAAACGAAAAAAACTTTGAAAGAAAACAACATGTAATGCAAAAGATAAGTTTGATAATGGAGACAAAAACAAAGACGAATATGAAAGAAT